GATGATAGCAAACAACGCAATACCCGATAGCCAAGAGAGTATTATAAATGACACAAATGCATCTGAGGATGTAGACCCAAGTCTACGAAACTCGTGCCATCAACTTCTCTCTTTTAGTCAGCCTCAAAGGGGCTGCAAGATCCTGACACACAAATAATGTGAGCAATTATGTAGGTTTGGGGGTTACACAGAAACATTCTTCAAGAACGCCTTAAGCCCTGCATCACCCCTTTTTTAAAACCTAAGATAGAGGAATGTCAGTTTGGCCTTAACGTTGTGTGGTTGCAACATGTATAATGTGCATTTTGGTTGGCTCCATAAAGGTAAAGGTATCACTGTTTTGTGGATATTAAATGCTGGGTCTAAGCATCTTTTTGTCTCCGTTGAGTTCAGAGGGGTGTGCTTGGAAAGACTGGAAGGAAACCACTCCCACATCTTGCCAGAAAAATCTATGAGTCTGTAAAACATGTTTTAAGATGAATCTTTTTTCCTTCTTTTGGCTAGCAACCAAAGGTCATGACCCCTTAAAAAATCGGGTCAGCCGATGCCATGGAAAGAACATGGAACATTAAATAAATGCGGCATTGTCAGACACAAGTTTTGGCTCAGGGAGTGATTCATTGGAAAGGTGGGGAACCTGATGGCAGGCCTTTCAGAAGGGTATGTGGGGGCCTATGTAGCCCCCAAAAAGGGGGTCTGCCCCACAGAACAAGACCAGATCTAGGCTGGTCTATTGTCTAAAGGGATGGCAGAGGAGCTGTGGCTAGGCACTGGCCACCCCAGGCTAGTGCAAAGGTTTCAGCAGATTGCTGCATCGTACACTTGGATGTAATGTATGTGAGCTTGTTCTGGGTTCTCCTCCCTCAGGTTCTAGACTCTAAAAGGTGGCAATGAATTTGGGTTTTTCTAGAGCATCACACACAATATTTTTGTTTCATCAAGAGACCTATAGTTTATCAGGAGGGTTGAAACAATCCCACCCTTCCCATAGTGTGTGTGTGTATAGATAGATAGATAGTCTATTCATTCCAGGGTTTGGGGGATGTGACTCTTTTAGCACTGCACCTCCCAGAATCCCCACCAACCAGCCAGCTGGGAGTCCCCAAAAAGTCACTCTGCGTAAATTCAGCCCAAACATCTCACAACTGGAGAAAAATCCTAAAGGATTTTGGCACTGAGGAGGGCAACCGTTTCTGGCTTCATACTTGCATACGCTGAACATCTTTTCTCCTGGAGGGCTGGTTGCAGAAATATCTATGTGGAAACTCGTATGCAAGCAACAAACTTTCCTCAAAATGAGAATTCTGGTCTCTTTGGCATTTATTCTCCCATCTTCTCCTGTTTCGCTGCAATTTTATATTCCAGGCGGATTCCTTTCCTCCGCTTTTGCATCCTTACTCTGCTCCTCCATCATCCCTCCCTCTTTCCTACTTCCATATTTAATCCGCCATCTTTTAAAATGGAAAACCCAAAGGAGAGAAGCAGAACAAGAACAACAACAAACCAAAGAGGAAAATGGCAGCCCATCCAAAAAAGACATTCAAAAATATTCTAATCAATACCCATCAATTATTTCAATCCAAATCATTTATTTCACTACGTATTGCCAGAAACCCATGTCCTCTGGAAAGACTGGAGGTTGCAATAGTAGACAAGAGTGCCCTCGAGCATGTACAGAGTATCAATGAATAACTATTGAAAAGAACAGAGATGTTTTTGGTGTGAGTATGTGGAAGACCTCTAAACCTGTGTTGGGTTTCTACAACAATCTTCCCTTTCTGATTTTATTTCTGGAAACAACGTACCTGCGCCTTCGCTCCTGCGCACTCAAATAAAAACAACGCAGACCGGATTATTTCTCCTATCTAGTTTGCTTCTTTTAAATGCCAAGCAACAACAACAGCGACAACAACAACAAAAGCATTCAAATGCTATTAAATTATGCCACCAGTGACATAACAAGGGTGGAGGGAGGCAGGAGAAGAAAAATAACATTTTACCATGCAATCCTGCAACCTATTAATCAGGGAGAAGTCGGGGTTCATGGGGTTCCCTTGCTAAGTAAGTGTCGCCTTGAGAGATTTGCTGGTGAGCGGGGCAAAAACTCATACAATCTTTTTATAAAAATTAGTAAGAAAATAGAAAACATTATTTTAAAACCAAGAAAAAGACAGACGTTTGATTCATAAACCATAAACAGATCATGGACAGTTACTTTAATATGAGAGAATGCACACAAATGGATTCAGACATACTTTCTAAGTGGAAGCTATTGGGTTTTTTTCTCCTTTTGTGGTCTTTTTTCATGACACAGAATTGACAGTGTATGGTTCGTATAGGTCAGATCTTCAAAATGAAAAAACAAAACTCAGTTCCTTTAGAGGTTTTGAGTCCATTCTTTGCATAAGTAACAATCAATTGTTGTTACTGTTGCCATTATTTGCACTCTCTCTTCAATATAAGTTACTTTCATTTTTTTTGTTTTTGTTTTGTTTTGTTTTGGTTTGTTCTCATGGATGGACCAACACATATCTTTTAGTCTTGCTTTTAACAAAATAACCAAATAAGAAAGTAACCCTTTTGGGTCTATGATTGCAAATACAATGAAGAGGAAAGTAACTCAAAATGCAAAATAAATAAATAAATGAATAAAAAAGAATTATTTGATCCCCTTATCATAGATCACAAATTTCAGGCAGAGAAAGCTGTCTTTTGAATTTTTAAAATCATATCCCCTCCCCCCCAAGATGTTCAGTTCTAATGAGGGTTTGCTAGACACTGGGTGAAAATGCCATTAAAAAAAGAAGACCAGGATTAAAATTAATTCCACTTCTACTGAAAAGGGGGACTTTTTCTTTCTACAGTGGAATCAATCGACTTTTGCGTAAACCAAAAAACAAAACAACCTTGCAATATGCAAAGGGACCTTGTAGCCCCTTGGAAACTAACTAGGCAAAATGACATTGGAGTATAAGCTTTCTTGCAGGGTTTACCAGAGGATTTACTTTCCAGTAGACCTGCCTAGGCTTATTGGACTCTCCTTTGAGTCCAGTGAAAGGGATTCGGAGAATTAACTTCCAGCTGTACTCCTTTCCCACCATAAAATAAAACTGGATCCAGTTGTGACTTTATTGCAAAAAAAGAGAATTAAAGAAAACCTTCCTTACCTCTCATCTTGGCTGATCTCCTTCTTTTCCCCCTTCCTTTTTATTTTTATTTTTATGCTTCTTCTGGGAAAAGCATGAAAAATTCAAGAAGAAGGTTAAAGAAACAACAACCACCCCAAAACTCCTTGGAGGAAGGAGGGGAAAGAGTACTAGATATTTCTGGATGTTCAGTTTCCAGTTGGAGGGTCTTCTGGGCTTCCTCTTGGCTCCTTGAGTTTTGCTGTCCTAATAATAACAACAGCAACAATACCCTAATAATAATAATAATAATAATAATAATAAGGGGTCATAGTTTTTGCTCCTGAAATCTTTCCACACAGACACACACACACACCTTTCTTGCTTTTCTTTCTTGCTTTCTCCTTCCCTCTCTCTCTCTCTCTCTGTGCCAAGTGCTCTTGGAAAAACTGCTAACCTACTTTCTGCAAAAGACTGGTTGCTACAGCCATGAGGAAATTCACATGACAAATCTGCCTGCCTGGAGCCCCGCCCACCACCTGTCAATTTTGCCCCAGGCCCCGCCCCTTTGCCCGGGCCCAGCCCCGCCCCCTTCCTCTCCATCCTTTGCATCTCTCCTTCCATTCAAGTCATTCTGTCATTCAGGTCTTCCTTTTCCGGTGTGATATAATTTTGGAGCTGATCTCTCCACCTTTTCCTTTCCTGGACAGGCACACAGTTTTCCTCCTCTCCCCAATTTTTTTGTGAAAAAGAAAGATTTGTATATTAAATACCCCCCCCTTGCTTTCTTATAGCAATCAAAAGAAGTCTCTCTGGGTGCAGCTGCACTGGGGAAATGATGCAGTTTGACACCGCTTTAAGTGTGGTGGCTCCATCCTATGGAGCCTTTGGGTTTGCCCTTTTAAGAGGTCTTTCGCCTTCTTGGCCAAAGAGTGCGGCAAAACTACAGATCCCAGGATTTCGTAGGATGGAGCCGTGGCAGTTAAAGTGGGATCAAACTGTATTATTTCAACAGTGTAGAATGCACTTGTGTGTGTGTGTGTGTATGTCTCTCACTTTCTCATTGGTCTATATCTATCTAAGGTCTAGGTCTTGATCTTCCTCTGTCTATTATTGACCCATTTATACCTGTCATTGATCTATCCAGATGTATCTATTTAGCCATCACTGATCAGTATCTATCTATCTATCTATC